ATGGAGCCTTTTTTTTTAATTTGGAAAATGTCTCGAAGAGTTCATGTAAAATGCGTCCCATAATTGAAAAATCTGTTTCAATTCAACGGGCTGCGACATCAATCAGGGAATATGAAATTCAAGGGGCCGCTAGGTTGATTGGGCATATCATTGTTGGGGGAATTCGGCTTAACGGTTTAGCCGCTAGCGTTGTTCACAGATGGACAGATTTTGCCGTCATTCGATTTTTCGTTATCGAGGGACCACAAAACATGGATGGTGACTAAACCACGTGATAGTTTTTTATTTATTTAGCAACGGGAATTATCCTCTTTTTCGTTACTGTAACCACCGACTCACCCGATTATCTGATTGTGTATAGCATAAAGCTATAGCATATAAGTGTAATAGCATATATGATTACCTAATTTTTCCAAGAATTCCTGTGTTTATTGTTACCACCGACTCACCCGATTTCCTTCGGCGATTCAGCTTTGCCCGGCTGCTTCGTCGGCAGACTCCCTAGAGAGAGGCCTGCATGATTGCCTAACTACTTAAGAGAAAGACTTCAGCATTTTCAGAAAACTACTTTAATCACTTTAGTATGGGTGTGGGGTGAAGCCCAGTAACATGAATAAACTTACAACTAATTTAAAACTTATCTTAACTTATAAAAGGCAGGTATGGCCAGAGTTCATCTTAGCTCCGGTGTCGTTGCCCTCCTGGGCGGTCGTGATCCAGCTCACAGGTGCGGCGTTTGGGCTTCCCAGCGCCCGGCAGGTCTGGCGGCGGGCACCTACGGGCGTTGCTTGCACCAGGTCCCTTTGTGGCGGCCCCAGATTATGCCAGCGGCGTGCGTCGACCGGCGGCTTCTTAGCGGCGCTTGGTGCGGGCGGCGGCGGGAACGCGCCCAGGCGATGACGGGTCGTTTCGCGATATAGTTTTTCACGTTCCCGGCTCGTACTCACATGGCTCTTTGGGTCAGGCACTCACTAGTAGTGTTCCGTCCCATCGGCTGGCTGTCGTCACACGAGTCGGGCTGCGATGTGGCCAGGCGGCGTGGCATTCGTGGCGACCAGGCACGAATGAAGTGGCCTCGCTACTGCCTCAAAAGCAAGTGTCCTCGCGGCTCACAACGCAAGTGCCCCCCCCCCTGCCGCCTCCGAAAGAAGTGATCTCTTCGCTACCTCCGATACAAGTGATCGATCCTCTCATCCGCGGTCCCTCAGTAAGGCTCGCGTACCACGTGATTCCTCCCATGCATTGTCTATTTTTATTGGTTGTCGCGCCACCTGTAATCCTTCCGCTTATCACGGCGCCAGCGGCGAAGCCGCCCCCGCTAACTTCCCCCGAAGTAACCTACGTCACCTAAATTCTCAGAAATAGAAGCGGGTAATTCCGTTGCTCGGTTAAGGGGGTGTGGGTGGCGTACTTCCCCCCCACGTCATAAGGGGTGCGCCCGGCGTGTGTCTCGCTGAACAAAGGAGGCGCTATTTCCTCCTTTTCCCCGGCGCGCTAATCGGCTCTTACTCAGGTACAGCCGGAAACGGCATTTCCGGCTGCTCTTAACAGCGGCGCGGTTCTTAAATAAAATAGGTGTATTGCTCGTGTCGTCATCCGCGATGTGCGACCGTCCCATTACATTACCTTAGCCCTGTTATAAGAGTTTTTCTGCCATAAATTGTCCTTTTTTCTCGCAGCACTACATAACTTTCTCTTTACTTCGTAGGGAGAAAGTAAAAAAATTGCAGGGTGGAGGCTCAATTCTGATCCGGATTCAGCGCGTCGAAATTCATTGAAAAACATGTGTTAAGTCTTTGGATCTGACATGATTGTTTGTGTGCCTGTGTAATTAATAATTTGGCATTCCATTTTTTTATTATCTCTTATAAGGACATTATGGGAAGTGGTAACTTAATCTTATTTAACGGAAGGTAGTTATTCATATCCAAAAAACCAATTCACCATGAGAATGTAATCAAGTTTGTCAATGGCGACAATTCTCCTGCCTTAATCTACACTAATAGAAAGGATTTGTGGATTTTCCCCAATGAAATATTTCGTTTTATTTAGATTGTTTAACATGATTTTCTCCATTTGGGTGAGACAGAACAGACGGTATAAAAACATGGTCTTTAATATTGGAAAGGGTTTCTCTTTAATATCAGAGGATATTACTGTCATATAAAAATGTATATTACATAGACAATCAATTTTGGTTTGGTTTTTAACTTTCAATTATTTAGTAATAACGGAGGAGGAAATATTACATCTCGAAGTTCTGCAAATAGTATAGTATTGTTCAGCTCTGCTGAAGAGGGTCAAACTAACTGCAGTATCCCCAAAACTATCATATGAAGCCAATACTTCATAAACGTTCCTTTGAGACATGTGAGACTCAGCATACAAAAATTCATTATAGTTCGATATTCTCGTGCTGGGCACTTCTTCGAAACTAGACCACTCGACACGGACTGACCCATTTACCTCAATTTTATTGCTAGTTTTGCTTTGCAGTTCCTGGATCTTTGATGACTTTGGATTGGAGATATCTCCACCGGCAAAAAATATAGGCGAATGAATCGGGTGAACGAGGTGCCATAACAATGTCCCAGTTGACTGCCGGCCACAGCGCATTCCCAGTGCCCTCAATGGACAGGTGGATGTCAGGCTCCAGGTAGATTGCGTTCTTTAACACGGCTTCAGCCAGAAACAACCGGAAATACTTAAAACAGCCCTACACTGGGGATCGAGCGCATGTGTTTTTAAATAATGTCAAACAATGAGAAACAATTAATTTAGTTTACTATTGCAGCCCCACTTACATGCTGAATAGTTCTTGGGGAACAGATTACTCTTAAGCACTTGCCTACGTAATTTTCTGAAAGCTCACAGATGGTCTACATCACGTGCCTAAACATGTGTGTGACTGATTTACAATGGAAGGATAAACAGAATTCCTCTAAATCGGAATCAGCATATAGTCAAATCATTCTGTATGACATTTCCCTGAAGTGTCCTTTCGTCGGATTTTAAGCTAATGAAAATCAAGGACTATAAAACCTTGTGCTTCCTCGTCTGGGGATGCTAAGTACGAGGACATAATTGTGCGCCTTCGGATCGGTAACTGCCACTTCTCCCATGAATATTGAAATCTTTTTTTTGTCAATTTGCTGGATTCTTAAATTGGTTTGAGTTATCTCAGAAGAATACACTTTTGGATATGGAGTTCGGGGCCTCTTTATATACTATAATTTAAATAAATACATTCAGTTTCCATTGAACTGAGATATAATAATTCAGAAGATAGCACATTTCATTTTCATTGACAAAAAAAGTTAACCAATAGTACTGGAAAATAAAAATAAAAACCTTTTACACAGCAAGAAGCACCCAATCTCAACAAAGGAATCCTTGCTTATAGTAATGATTAACACACAATGAAACCTTTGATTGCCTTGCCTTAACGTTAGCAGCTTTAACACATAAATGATTGTCCCTCGCAAACACTTAAAAGTAGGGCACAATCTCAAAAAAGGATTCTTTGCTTATAATGTTTGAATTCCTATTGAAATCTTTGATTGCTTTGCATTAACATTGGCAGCTTCCACAAATAAATGATTGTCCCTCACAAACCCTTTTTTACAGAAAGTTTTCTTCAAGTTTGCTGTCGAATTACATACAATTTTACAACCACGAGATTCCCCTCCGAAGTCACTTGGGAGACTAGTATGGGTCTCAGACCGAGAGCTGAAATAGGAATAGCGGTTATATCATGCTTATAGCTGTCTTATTCCACTTAGAACCCTTTAAACCTTTCTCCAAAATATAGTACGTGTTTCCCCGTAATTGTACTCCTGTCACGCGTGCCGTTGGCTCTGATCTTCAACGCCTGTTCATGGCGATCTTCGTATTGACCAGTAAGTCGATGGGATAAATCGCTAGCGCTGTTGTTGCTGCTGCGGCTTTTGTAATTGCACAAAGTGCGTTGTTCGGCTACATCATCTTCGTGATGATCCACCCTTACTTGCGATAACTGCAGAACAAACATACCAGGAAACAGGATTTGGTGCAGTTGTAAGCTGAGAGAGAGCCGTCGAATTCCTCCTGTTAGGAGAAATGGTGGGTAAAAAACAATCCCCTCTGTATCACCTTTTTAACGTCCTTCGGAGAAAATCGAATTTATAGCCTAATCTAAGAGATGATAAAATGTATATGGCTATTATTTATCAAATTTAATTGGCTCCTTTTCGGCCAGATCTTTCATTTTACCCAAACATGTTACCATGTTTGATTTTTATGCATTTTACTGTATATTGTAAAACTGTTTAAGCTTGACATTGTTACAATGCACTAATGTTCTTACAATAATTTGACGTAAGCGCCAGTGACCTTAGTTATGTTAGCGTTTTTGAACCCTTGTCCATGACATATGTCTCATTACTGAAAGTGAAAACATGTACATTTTGTGTCCGTATTTTTCGTGACAAAACACATAATCCAATAAACTCTTTTGTTGCCCCCTCAAAATATTCGTATGTTCATGTCTGTCGTTTTTAATATAAGGATTCTTAAGGTTTTCGTATTGAAATTTTTAGGAACATTCATCATATAAATACTGCAATTGAAAAGAAAACACCCGCGTTGTAATGCGGAACAGGAATTTCAGCAGTGGAGAACAGTGACTAAATCAGTAGAAACAGGTCGAGTTATCAACTCTTAACGTCAGTGCAGAAACTAGTACATCGCACAGCCCTTACAGAGTTACTGAATTCATTGCTTATCTCTATTGTGTAGGCAGTTGCCTGCTTGTCCGTCAGTTGGTATCACCTCCGTCGTATTGGGTGGCTTGCTACACGTAGCCTTGCTACGCTTGCTACACACTCATCCTTCACCTTGTTTGCGTATCTACCTCTTCGCGGTATTTGGAAATGACATGTAAACTATGTTTGTTACATGTTATTATATGACAAATAATATTCCTAAATCTGAGTATTTTAATCGTGAACTTTTATTTTCAGGTGGGAGCAATCCATCAGAAGAGAACGTTAGCATTTATTAACCATTTTATTTCAAACACTGTTTCTTTCCTTAATAAATTTGCTCGTTCATGTGAGCAAAGATTGGAGAAATTTGATTCCCGCATTAAGAAGATTGACGCATCGTTGAGTGTTTTGGAAACGAAGGTGAGTACTTCATTACGAAGGCTGCTTGTCATCTTTCTCGTGAAAAGTGAAGTTCAATTCTGCTGCCATTTCCCCCCTTAATTATTTTTAAAATGCTTTTAAAACAAAATCACCACGCTGCTTTTGAAATTAAAAAAGCGTGCAGATACTGACGCTGTTGTAGTTCCGACTTTTGTTACACAACAAGAAATACTTTTCACGACTGCAAAGTATTTATTGCTGTGCTCTCCTACATTCTTTTATGTTCCCCATTTTTCTTCGCTAGCCTTCTCTGTGTACTGGACGCCCACCCACGTGTTTTCTGTGCATGGCGACTCATGTGTTTGTAGTACTTGTCAACGTACTGCAGCCACTACACTGAAAAAAGTAAACGCAGGGGCAGACAAATTTTGGGGGAGGAAATTCAAAAGGTTTTAGTCGAATGTGTCATATTACAGATTTTGTAAGATATCGCATGCTGCACTCAGCTCATGCGATACGATTTTATAAATTTTAATGATTATCAGAAAACATTTTTGCTTGAAAGTTTCTTGACTACTTAAAATGAATAGTTACTGAAAAAGTTTACGGGTGAGTCCTTCATTTCCCTCCCCGTGGATCCGCGGCTGGTAAACGCCTGTCTTTTGGCAAAGGCAAATGGTGGTCCCTTTCAGCATTTACTCGGACAGTTTTTTGTCATTTTAAGGAAATTGTATTTTATTATTTTCATTATTTTCAATAATTATTAATTTACTACTTTTTTATGTTTTGTGAGTATTTTTAATAATTGTATTAACACTTATATATTTAACAATCAGATCCCATAATAATATTACAGTATTATTGTTATAAATAATGAAGGGCTTGGCGATTATGTTTCACGTGATATCTTTCTGATTTCTCACTGAGCCGGCTTTCATTAAATAATTATTCTTGTCGCATTGGTGTTCATAAATCGATATGATCGAGGTGTCCGACCCTTTTCTTATTTGGGGGACTTTAATGCGCACAATCTAGCCTGAGGTGGCACAAGGACCTTCCCGAGAAGTAATACTCGTAGTATACTTAAAAATATTATTCACAATCAGAACCTAATTCTTCTGAAAACTGTCGAAAGCAGACACTGGCAGTGACCACTTCCCCATTCTGGTCAATTTCGTTACTTCGGATGTAAACGTTGTCCATCCTCGCTGGCTAGTCCACCGAGCTGAGTGGGAAACATTGCAGAAATAAATACGGATAACGGCAAACTGCCCAAACGATATCGATGATGTGGTTGCCTATTTTACTGATGCCGTTCTTCATGCGGCCTCAGTTACCATCCCGAAGTCGTCGGGTCCCCCACGATAGCCTCCCGTGCCGTGGTGGAAAGCCGACTATGACAGCGCTGTGCGTGATCAGAAGCTTAGTAGGATTCCAACCACGGATAATCTGATAAATTATGAAAGATCCCGAGCTAGAGCTAGATTCGCCATAAGGGATAGTAAGTCCGCGTCCTGTAGAGATTATATTTCATCACTCTCTTGCTGTGCGTACCTTAAAGTAGTGTGGTGAAAGGTGCAACAGATCGGAGAGAGACTTCCTTCACCGTCTCTCCCATGGCATCTTGTAAAAAGAAATCACGTCACCTGAAGACATGGTAGAGAAATTGGCCTCTCATTGCCAGTAAGTATACAGTTCTGTACAGTACTCTTCTGGCTTTCTGAACACAAATATAAGAATTAAGAACTGTATAATAGATTTCTCGAGTCGCGACGAAGAAGATTATAAAGTTCCTTTCTCGATGGTTGAATTTTCCTGATCCCTCGCCTGCACAAAAGATTCTGCTCGAGGACCAGAACATATATAATCAAATGCTGAAACACATACCGGTAAACGCTCGTTCTTTTCTCTTCCGCATTTTCAACTACATTTGGGTTGAACATTCCCTACCAACGATTTTGGTGTGAAGTTATTCCAATCCCTAAAGAAGGAAAGGACGGAACAATCCCCACAAGGTACCGTCCTATCTCGCTCACAAGCTTCGTGTGCAAGCTTTTGGAGCGAATGATAACCCACGTCCGGTTTGGCTCCGAGAACTAAGGAATCTATTTCCACATATTTAATGTGGTTTCAGGAAAGACATGTCAACCATGGACCACTTAGTCTCCCTTGCCAGACAGATCTCCACTTCTTTCGTGCTACAGCACCTAACGGCATTTTTTTCGATATGCAGGAAGCGTACGTCACCACCTGGAGGTACAGCATTCTTCGCGTCTTACATTCGTGGGGTCTTAGGGTCGGCTTCCTTTGTTTCTAGTAGATTTTCTTTCGTCAAGATCTTTCCGCGTCCGCCTTGGTGACATGTTATCCTCCAATCACAAGTTAAAAAACGTTGTTCCCTAGGCATCAATTCCCTCTGTTTGCCATTTCTATTCATGGTACTATTGGTACCATGAGTAATTCGAGAGCCTGTGAAAGCTTCGCTATTCGTTGACTCATTTGCCATATTTTGCTTCTCCGAAGCATGCAAGTTATTTAGAGGCAGTTACAGCTTGCCCTCAACAAACTGCAAGAATGGAGTGATGAAACAGGATTCAAGTTCTCCATGTCGTAATCCAACTGCATGCATTTCTTTAGGATTCATCTCCATAATCATCCTCACCTTTTCCTTGGGGGTCATCAAATTCCCTCTTCGTCGAATCCGTAACTTTCCTTGGCCTGATATTCGACAAGAGTTAGACATGGTAGAAACACATTCGTAAATTGAAGAGTCGATTTTTATCCCCTTTGAACCTCCTTCGCACCCTTACTGGTGGACCATGGGGTGCAGACTGTCTTTTGCTGCTATCTAGGACCATCTTTCCTATCTTAGATTATGGGTGTATTTTTATGGGTCAGCGTCTCCATTGACCCTCCGGCCATTGAATACCATTACACAATGTCCGGATACGGATCAGATAAGACGCTTACCGTACGAGTCTCTTCGAATGCCTCTTGGCCGAGGCTGATGAACCATTCTCGAGCCGAAGGTGCAATATTGTGATCGGCTCCCATGGTGCGAAATATTAGTTATAAATACATCACGCTTTGGCATGGCTCTAGGCGCAAAGAGATTATTCTGACACGCCTGCGGATTGGTCACTGCCATTTCTCCCACGGATATCTTCTCCGCGGTATCCGCTACTTGCGATGATTGCGAGATTGATGGGGTGGGGCATGCTCTCCTGCACTCTTCTAAGGTGAGAGATAGCCGCATCGTTGCTGTCTCTCTGGAAGAGATGCCACGTAATGACGAGTCTTCTCACTGCAGGCTCTTCATATTTTTACAAGAAAATGGAATGCACAACCTTAGCAGAGAGAGGAGGATAATGTCGGTTAAAACGGCTTTTACTTGAGAAATTTTGAAGTGTTTATTTGGCTTCTTTTATACGAAATCCCCTTTTTATCATTGGTCGCCTTAATCTTCCGTTTTTAACATCTCTTCAATATTTTAGTGTGGCACTGCCATAGTGCATACTGTCCTTCAAATTTAAATTGGCGACAATGACTGTAGATGTTGAAGGGCCCTTAAATAACAATAATAATAATAATAATAATAATAATAATAATAATAATAATAATAATAATAATAATAATATATCAAATAATAATTAGACAATATACGGATATTCAGAGTGATATCAGACAGCGTAGACAATTTTTGGATGGACACATCAAAAGAATGAATCCTAATCGTCTTACCAAACTAAAAGTTGAATTTTGTGAGAGTGAAAGTAAAACAGCAACTGACACTATACAATGGATCAACGAAATTAAAAAGGACCTTAAATTATCAGGGATCACAGATGAAGACATTCAAAATAGAAACACATTTAGATCTAAAGTGCAGTCATAACGGATTGATTTGGAAGAAGTACCAAAGTGTAGAACAGGAAAAGCTTGGTCCGAAGAGAGAAATATGAACACAAAGAAAGGCTAAAAAACCCATCTGAGTACTTTGCATTGTCCCAATTGGGCTTTATCGCAATTATTATTATTATTATTATTATTAACGATTGGTACCATCACCGCTTCACAGAAATACATTAAGTCAGAGCTTTACTTTGTCGTTAAATAATGGTGCTTAGGATAATGTAATCATTTCTAATCACCATAACGTATCTTAAGATTCCCTTCTCTACTTCAAAAAATACAAATCATTAATTTATTCATTAAATTATGAAAACGTGCACAAAATTCACTTCTCCCCGTAGAATGTCACAGGTTTTAACTGCGTTTTGACGTAAATAATTTAATAAATAAGTAAATGTAAAGCCGCAAAATCTTACAGCAGTGGCCCAAGTGGGCATTGAAGAGGCCAAACTGAAAGTTGTCTAAGATTTATTCAAATATTTGAAATGAAGTGAACAAAAGTGATGTATGAAGATATTCAGGGAAATTGAACAAATTTGTTGAATGTACTGATTTTGTATAATTGAGAAGAGAGTGATGAATGCGTTCATTAATATAGATGAAAATGCAAAGTATTCTGTATTTATTATACTGATAAAAACATGCCAAATTTCATTGAAGGAAACTTTCATTTATTTCAAAATTAGCTTGTTCCCTGGAATAAGGTCAAAATTCAATATTTTCAAATTAATGTAAATCCATATTTTTGAGCACTTGAGTACATTTTGTGTGCTTAATGAATTACTAGTTTGATGTTTGTACGATATGTACCTGTTTTTTTATTTTATGTGAGAAATGCAGCTTGTACATAGTATTTCTTGATTATCTCAAAACATTTTTCTCAATTACACCCTTCTTCCTGCCAACCTTCGCTCACAATTCAGGTGCCGTTTGAACTGCAAATTGTTGAACACTTTTAGTAGCAAACGCAAATAAAATTGTTCGAAACTGTGAACGTAGATAATTCAGATACCACGTTTTAGTGCATGGTGCATTCAAAGTATGCGCAATGATTACGTGTAAAATAATCGTACCTGTGTATCAAGAGGGTTTCGTTTTTGAAAAAAAATTCAAGAGGAATTTTCTTCTCAAAATTGCCTTATCATATAGACCTTTTAAGATCAATAAATAGGCATTTGTATAACACTATATTTTACAAAAAATAGTTTTTCGAAATTAAATATTTATCGAGAAAACTATATTTACGCCCATCTGGAATGTAGTAACCATTTAAATATTGGGTAATCATTGTTGAAGTCAATTTTGATGTGTAATGCCCTGCATTTGGAAGTCTAGTGTGCCCCAATTAAAACAACACATCCAAATTATTTTATTGTACTATTTCCCAAAAGCGAAAGCACTATGAATCTCCGCGAATTAAAACAGTTTTGACTATTTTAATTCAGACCAACCACTTTGGACGCTTCAATGGCGACATTCGCAACATAATAACTAGCAATTTGATTTTCTTCTAATGCACTTGTAGCGACTCGCATATTTGCTTTGGGATTTGAAACCACGATTGTTATGTTATTCGTAAATATTCTCCAGTACGTTGTCATCAATATCCTGCAGTACACAGGATCTCGACATTTTGGGTAGAGTTAGTCCGTACTCCGCACATGGAGATTCCTGTTGCTCTGGAGATGGTCTTGCTGGAAAAGCCAACTTCAGGTACGGGCTCATTCTGACCTTCGAAATCGCTGTACCTATCCAGCATATATTCATGTATTCCTGTGACATTGCCATTGTATTTGTGACCTAATATGCTACATACTCGTACATATTCATCAACGATTCATTCGATTACGTTTTCATATTTTGCCAGTCGCAACTTTGCCTTAAACATTTTGATCACATTTATGAGGTTAATTCACCTCAATGTAGCTGGAGTGGATGTGCCTTGTCTCATGTGTCTTGGTAATTCGTGCTCAGAGCTGTGCATAGAACCCATAAAAGCAATACATATGTATGCTTGTCTCTAACCCAATCCGGAAGTTTTTGATCCTGAACGTTTTTTCCCTGAGATCACTGGCTTGATCTATATGAATTTCTTCCTTTTGGATCTGGATCACTGATATTTATTAATTTATGTAATACCTTGGTTTTATTTTCTTCTCCCAAATCAGGAAGTTAACAATCAATTAAATTAGGAGAAAAGAAAATTGCCCAAAGTGGCCCTAGCTGGTGCCTCTGCCCTACCTGGCAGCGGATATGGTAACACTGGCAATTATGATCTTAAATAGAATTGTTATTAGAATGGTTACGCCCGAATAGCGAATTGGACGTCAGTTAGTAATTTTATTATTTAATATTTTGTGTGTGTACTATTGTTATAAACGTACAACAGGAATATATTATGAAAATATTATTTTAAGAACTTTGTGTGAAATTCCAATGCTTTGCATTTATTTTTTAAATTAATTTGTACGTCAAAAACATACTTGTTTAATAAAACTGAGTTTCTTCGAACATGAATTGGGGGAAAAAAAGATACCACTTCTGTAGATTAATGGCCCGCGACAATGAAAGCTAACAAAGATTTAAGGCGCACCGTGTTATGAATTTAAAACTGATTTAAATTTAAAAAATCCGATTTTTTTAAATCATGATTTTTAGAAAACCTAGTTAAGACGGACACTATAAACGCAATTTCCGTGTTTCCACTGTAACACGTCGTTTAGCAGGTTTTGAAGTCCGAGGTCCTTGTCGAAAACCACTGATAAATTCAAGGAATAAAATGTCCAGGTTGGAATTTACAAGTAAGCGCAGAACATGGAACAGTAAGGACGGGCCGAAGATTCGAAGCATTGCACCACGGATGAAAGAAAGATCAATATCTTCCTTTTAGATGGTATTACCTTATTTGTCGATCAATTAAGCAGACAAATAATCCAAGATAATTGGTTAAGGCTAAGAAACAAGGCGGTGGTAACATCATGGGAGTATTTTGTGGGAGTATTTTTCTAGGCGTAGAGCTGGTCCTCTTATTAGAATAGAAGGGACACCGCCTGCATTGTGGCGTTCTAGTACATCACAAGATATAACAAAGTGTTCACTTTCTGGAGAACATTGAAAACCGTAAAAATGCAGAGAATTTCTTTCTTTAGGAAAAGTCTGGAGGTATTTTGAGATGGTTATATAAATGTATTTTATTACCTACAAAATTAGTCCACCAAATAATGGTGATTTGTATTTGTTGAGATTTTTCTTAATTTTGTACTTCATCACAAATCGGAATGCTGAGAAATTAGTATGTGGCTTGCTTTGTTGTTGTTTTTTAAATACTATGAAATATACTACAAATCATATCAGTAAATACTAAAAAATATTCACTGGAAAACCGGGAAAAATGAGGGAAATTTGTTCCAGGAAATGAGTGGCCATTCTTTATAAGAAATATGGCTCGTAGTTGGATATTCCAAGAAGGTAATTACCTATAAAAATCAGCGGGCCAAATAAAGTGTTTGTTATCAGAGAAAATATTAAAGTTTTGCATTGGTCTAGTCAAATCCCCGACTTGAAGCCAATTCAAAATTAATTAATGTAATACGACTTCCTTTTGCTGAGACTTTTCTCTCGAACGTTCTTAAATGTACTTTATTATCTCTCAAATTACTAAAGAACCTACTGTTTGTTCTGTTTCTTCGTACAGTTGAGCTCAATATCAGCTCTCGAAAGTGCCCCAGCTAAATGTGAAACGAAAAGCGCAGAGCTGTCAGAACCTGTACCAGATGTGCAGCACGAAGCACCACCCGAGACCAAGGTTCAAGACCCAAGTTTAGTAAGATTCTTCAGGATGGTTCAAGTTGGAGTACCCATTGATGCTGTACGCATGAAAATGAAAGCTGAAGGTTTGGACCCATCATTCCTTGAGTAAGTATTGCCCCACACAAAACCAAAAAAGAAAATAATTTACTTAAAATTTTGAATTTTGATCACACTAGGGGACAAGATTTTCTCCTGAGGTAGAGTGCGCAACTAAATCCATTTTATTTGTAGATTATGAATGTCACGATGAAACGCCATTTACGTCATCTTTATACCGTATCGTACCTAATTTTGCTATCAAGCAAATACATTTAAATTGCATCTGTAAGATATGTAGAATCAATATGCATAAAATGTATTTAAATATAAAATATTTGTTTAGTTTACCTATGCCACTTTCACGAGATATCAACAAAATTAGTGTAAGTATCCAAAGTTGGAGGAGTCTATACTATGTAGAGCAGGAAGGCCTAAATGATTTGGCTCGGAACCCGAATTTGTCAAAAGAAAAAGAATCTGAACTACAGGGCCCCAGATTACAACAAAGGAAACTTATAGCTGCGGGATAAGCGAGTTTAAAAACTGTCACGAGACGTTTGCCCAATATTTTGTTATTGAGGGTCCTTCATGTTGTTTTGCAGGCATTAGGGGGTTAATGAGTGAATTGTGAGTTCGATATAATCCTGATGAATGACGATAGTTTATAGATTCTTCAAAATCAACTTTCAAAGCAATGTTGCTTCATAATTGGAAAAAAAATACCATCGATTCCTTTGTCATAATTTGTCGACCTTAGAGAAAATGATGAATGTGTATCTCAAACTTTGTGTTTTAAAATATTAGGATCATAGGTGCATATGTGGGGATTTAAAAGTGATTGGCTTACTGCTAGGTTTGCAAAACAGTTTTACGAAATATTTTTGTTTTTTGTGTAAATGGGGCGGTCGTGCTTGAGAGAAACATTGTGGTGCAACGTTGAGAGAAGGAATTATTTATTCCAAGGGAAAGTAGCATAAATAATTTCGCGGATGAGTAGTGCAAAAGGAAGAAATTTTCATTGACCCGCAAATATTGGAAGAAAAGTTGAGTGACATTGAGGTAGCAGCTTGACATTTCTTTAAGAGAGTTGTGTAGGCATTTCTAGGGGAAAAGGATGAAAACAATGATAAAGTGTACTCCTCAGATTTGTTGAAAAGCTAAAACAATATGAGGTGTAGAATATCTCTGAAAATACACTTTCTTCACTCCCATCTTAATTTTTTTCCGCAGAATTTGGGTGAAGTAAGTAATGATCGTGGTGAATCATTGCTACAATGCAGAAGAGATACCAACGGCGTAAGAAACCTACGATAATGGAAGATAGTTGGTTTCTTGACAGAGAGATTAAACAGGAATACAATAGGAAGTGACAAGGCGCAAAGCATTTTTAACGACACAATAGGAATTTCTCCTGCCAAGATATTTCAATATTATTGCAAGAATAAGAATATTCAATTTTTAACGTGTTCTTACCTCGTATGAAGCCAGTTCATAAAGTTTTGTCGTAATCTAACCCGAGTAATAATGCGAAAATACGACGTCTTTTCAATCATAATCGACCTTTTTTCGTAAATATGTTCATATCTTTTGAACACTGCGGGATAGAAACTTTTTATAATGAATTTCAAAATCAGCGTTTTCGATTTCTTTCAAATCGCCTACTTCCATCCTAGAGGAATGAAAAAAAAAACCTTTTCCGTAGTGTAATTTGGATTAAAAATTCCATTCCTTTTCAGATTTCTTTCTTGGTTTTCAGTAATTGCTTGGACATAAGGGAAACATTATTTTAAATGTATGTCCTTAAAACATAACCTGCTATGTAAATTAAAATAATTCCAATTGCCAATGTATTGTTCAGTGTTGAAATTACATATAACATTTTCTCATTGATGTGTAATGTGTCATCTTGAGAAGGGTTCATAAAATATCCAAAATCTTCCTAATTGTCTGGGAGATCCATCTCGAATCAAAAATGCAGTCTGATTTATCAATATCTAAAGTCTGACAATTAGCTGTTGGCAAGCATCTATGCTGTTTTTGTCATGATTTGCTCTTTGTATTTCAAATTCGAAAAACATTTGTATTTTTATTTGAGTGAAATCTTTTTAATTTTGAAAATAATTTATAGGTGACCTAGCCTAATTTTGTATATTAACATAATTTCGTGTTGGGAACAACAAAAATATTTTAGCTTCAAAACGCAAATAGCTTGTTAGATGGTGTCGTAGGCTTACAACTACAGTAATTAGCTTGTGTCACATTAAGAATAGAAACTGCACGGAATATTATTTATCGTATGTGGCTACCTAAAGCAAAGACAGTAGTTCACACTGTTGATATTTCGAGCATTCCAAGAATTTTGCTTATTTCCAAGAGAATTTGGTTCGTGTTCAGGGTTCTTTGTTACACCGTTGCATTTCGTGGTTATAATTTATAACAAAAATACATTATAAGTGTAATAACCTTAGGGCGTAGAAGCGTTTTTGTTTTTGTAACTCTGATTTCGTAGGGGGCGTTGATGAACCCATGACAATAAAACTATTCTAATAATGTAGAATGATAGTATTATTAATTACTTAACAGTTGCAATTGAAGCTAGTAATTTTAATATCATTAGTAAAAAATGAAAAACTGTAACATGCTTAAGAACATGCATTCAAAATATTGTTTATATTACATTAGTTAAACATTATTCAGGGTGGTCAGCTTCAGAGCATTGGACACACTTCACAATTTGCCATCCATACACGTTTGCAATGCATAAAAATACATTCGAAAATCGCTCCAATTTTTTTCTTTAATTTTTTCCACTCGTAAAACAAAGGAGACTTAAAAGAAAGGCGCTGGTCTAATTTTCGTTGAACTCTGATTTTTTGAAAATTGTAAATTCAGAAATAAGGCGATACAGTCTATATTCTGTTGAAGTACTACTAGTTTTCGCCTTGTGATGCATTGAAATGTGAGCGACTGATGCTTTACCGTTGGTCCTGGCCAATTTTCTCACGCGTGCGCGCGCGCGCGTGTGTGTGTGTGTGTGTGCGTGCGTAGCCACATGCGTACGTGTTTGGATTGTGTGTGGGAGGCAAGCGTTTTTTTGCCACCGAAAAAACGTTTACCACAAGATAGGCACACAAAAAGAAAAAATCAAACAGCCAAAAACAATGAAATAAACAAACACTAATAACATGTATTTTCCGAGAAATACAGTTATTCGGATTATAATTCGTAAAATTGGAGAACAAATGGCGGTATCCATTTTAAAGGTTAATCAAATGGAACTACGTTATTAAAAGGGTGTTATCTTCAGTAATAATTTTACTCCTTTTCACAGTTTAATGTTCTTTGTTAACACGTTCTTCTTTAATTTAGTGTTGCTTACGCATAAAAAAATTAATGAGCTATACAATTGAAAACTAAAAAAAAATCAACAAACAAAAATTAAGTTACAGTAAATAACACTTTTGGAATGATATATTCTTTTATTAATAAGTAATTCGTAAAATCGTTTGCGAACGAAAATTATTTTGTGGGTTTGTATGGATGGTGTGAGCGACATTAATTTCCGTTGAAAATACCTGTATAACCTTTGTTGTGTAGACGTCGTATAAAGGTATTTTTCCGGTACTATGTATGAATAAAGATATTTGTGTTTTGAAAACAAACCCTGCTTTATTGGCATTTTCAATACCTGTTCAGTCCCTGAAGAACTGTACTTGTAGAACTGTATTTCGAATAGCTTTTTAGTGTGATTTTCTTATGTTGCAGTGGTCCAGACGCTGTTGCCCGTGTTTCGGATGAAACATCAGATTCTGAAACAAGTTTCAGTGAATAAAAATATATTGTGAAATATAACTACATAGTGTTGTGTTGCCTTAAATAGAAAATTCAATTTCAGAAAATATGCGATTGAATCCCTTTCTTGTAGGATAAATAATACGATCTTATTTTATGATTTGTTAATACAACACTTCAGAGTGCTATAGTACCACGAGGAACACCACGACGTTCAAATGTAATTGAACGCTAATGTTATATCTCAGTGCTCATTTCAGTTCACCACACACGATTTTATTCAGTTACATCTACTCCTGGAAATAGGTTTTGGGAAGCGCATCCTTTGCTGAAAATCAATTACGTTTCCAAGTCCATATTGGTGAAATAATGTTCAATATCGCAGAGAGACGTTAATAATCATTCCGTAGTGCCAAAAGGAATTGTAGTTAGTCAAATTGCATAAAAGAGAAGTCTGTTTAGTATAATTCGAAACATTAAAGATTCTGACATATTCACTGTCTGATGTTACTAGCAAGCAAAAGGTATCAAATAATTTTCTATTCAGCCAACGATGTTTTGGAACCATCGTTAAAGGAAATTGATCACATCGACTCACGTCTCATTTACATTTGCTTTACGAGCAGCAAAATAAACCATTTTCTTTTGTTGATACGCATATTACAGTTTCAAGCGTAAAATATGTGGTATATGTACCAATTTGTCTGTGATAGTTAGCTTGTGTAATGAATGCATCTAGTATTACTCCACATTACTATACTTATTCTAGACCATTTTGTGTTTTGCTTTATTATTTCTCCAATCTATTAGGGAAGAGGCGTCCTTATTGTGGAATCTTGTGAAGAAAATTAATAAATCGTAAGTTCGGACCTATTTTACAGAACATTTTAAGCGTAAGAAGGCGGTAATGTATTCTATATACACAATGTTATGTATACAATAAATGTGAAATGTGTATGTGTACGAAAGGTAAATAATTTGTAAATAAAAGAATCGCATGTACTTCCTTCTTGGAATAATCAATGGAAACAAATAGTTTCGTCTTTTCCATTTACATATCTCTTGGTTATTATACATGTATATATATA